ATTGCTAAGAGGATAAGGGCTTATCAGTGAATGCCAATGCATGGCTGGAATAACATCGTTTATGAATGTATTGCATGAGTTATGAATGGATTCCATGAGCAACAGACGAGTTAGGGGGGTAGCGATCCAGGGTAGGTGGGCTCTGCGCACTAAGCGGAGTTCTCACTCCTCCCCCCAAGCCACCGTGGGGCCTTCGCATGCCATGCATAAGCTAGGCTAGCCCAGACATAGCCCACGAAAGACGACACACAAACAAATCTCTAGAGTCGGGAACTTGTGCTTAGCGTGTCGCCGCGGCGGCCTTGGCGACACACTGTGCCATGCGGGCGGATAGCGTGCCGCTCTCCTCCGCGGGACGGGAGGCTGGGATGGACTCGGGACGTTGACGCTCGGGGGTGGGGGGGGGCGCCAGCGGAGCGGCGTGGTGGGGGGGGCGACGGGGCCGCGGAGCGCGGCGGCGGGCAGGCCAACAGGGCAGGGCGGGGCAAACCGAGGAGAGACCGCGCCCTATGCCGCGCCCCCCGGGGGGGAGGGAGGAGGAGGAGGAGGAGGAGGAGGAGGAGGAGGAGGAGGAGGAGGAGGAGGAGGAGGAGAGAGGAGGAGGAGAGGAGGAGGAGGAGGGGGAGGAGGGAGGGAGGAGGAGGAGGAGGAGGAGGAGGACATTAACGGGGACGTGGATTGCGCGTCGCGACGAAGCGTGGTGGGCCAGAGCCGGCGGAGCGAGAGGCTATATCCAAACGCTCCTGACCGCAGGGAGGAGGAAGGGGCAAAGGCAGGGGGATGAAGGCGCTATAGAAAGTCGACCCTCCTCCCCGCTCCTGCTCCTCCGCCTTCTCGCTCCTCCTCCTCCTCCTCCTCCTCCTCCTCCTCCTCCTCCTCCTCCTCATCATCATCATCATCATCATCATCATCATCATCATCATCATCCCTCCTCGCTATTCCTCCTCCTCCCCCTCCTCCTCCTCCTCCTCCTCCTCCTCCTCCTCCTCCTCCTCCTCCCGCCTTCCTCGCCGAAAGCTCTTCGGGCCCCTGGAATCGCGTGGTGAGGGGCCGCGCGGTGGCCTCGGAATCCCCAGCGACTGCACCGCGCAAGGGGATTGAGGATGCAAGGGCCTCGTAAGACCGTCTTCGGAGCTTCTCGAGCGGGGCGCGGCTAACGAAGGTGGCCAATGATGGGCCGAGAAGGCAAGCATGCAAGGGTACCCCGGGGAAGGTTGCCCATTCTTGCTATCGGAGGCCTCCTCGATGGGGTCCGAGTAGATGCGGTCTAAAGATCACGCCGCATCGGCGATGCATCAGGGATGCATCGACGATGCATCGGCGACGTCGGCGGTGCATCGGCGACATCTGCGTGAGGACAATTGGGCTCTGCATCGAGCCGCATCGCCGATTATCCGACCCCATCGACTGGGACTCAATCTGGGAGGCCTACTGGGATGGGCGCGGGGTTGCTAATTGGAGAGGGGGGTTATCAGTGGACGCCACGAAAGGGTTATACCTGGCCTAACCTAGTGCATACGAGGGTTACACATGCCCTAAGTGGCTTAGGGGGATTGGAGAATTCTGCTAAATGGGCGGGTCCCACTTAGCCTGGATCGCTAGCCTCTCCAAGCCACTTGGGGCATTAGCAACCTACTACTGAACTAGATTAGGCCAGACATACACCACCTTGGCATCCACTGGTAACCCCCTTATCCCCTTCGCAACCCCCGCGCCCATCCCAGTAGACAAGGATGGACCGAGGAGGCAGGGATGCAAATGTACCCCTGGGAAGGTTGCCCATCATTGCTACGCGGACCGACCGTAAGCCTGCGTGAGAGCTGACGGAACCCGAGAGGGCCTTTCCCGTGCGAGCGGGGACTCTCCTCCGACAACGCACGCCCAGAGCCCCCCACAGACATTCCACCCCGAGAATTCCCAGGTGGCATAATGAGGGATGGGTAATACTAATGCAGTCAGCCCGTATAAGAAGGACGCACAATATAAGGATGCAAGGGCCTCGGGAGGCCATGTCGACAGTTTTCGAGCGGGGCGCGGCCCACGAAGGTGGCGAAGGATGGACCGAGGAGGCAAGGATGCAAGGGTACCCTCGGGAAGGTGACCCATCCTTGCCGTGTGGGCTGACTGTACAACTCAGCTCATGAAGGGGGGGACGCCTCGGGATCGGGGTTCGACGATTTCGTGCGCCTTCGCCGGTCCTCGGCGGTTTTCAAACCTCGGGATGTTCCAGCAGCTGCGCCTTGCCGAGGTCGTTCCAGGGGTACCCTGCTCGTCCCGAACGACCGCCGACGACAGAGTCATATGGCCCGGGAAAAAACCGTAGACTGGCGGAACATCGACCTGGAATCGGCGATACATCGCCAAGAGACCCGCGATGGGCCCCCGAGGACGAGCCCGCACCTTCCTGGGCGGCGTGGGCCATCAGGCCCCCGTTGGCGATGAATGGCCCATTGGGGATCGATGCATCGCCCCTGCCCTCGAGACCACCCCCCCGCCCTCGATGCGTTGCCCTTGACTGCGCCAGGGGGGGCGCGTTTGGCCCCCGCCGGCGCGGGGGGCGGCGCCCGCCGCCACACGCGGGGCGCCCTCTGGAACGCGGCGAGCTGCGGGGGGGGCCGGGGTAGATCGACCTCCTCCTCCTCCTCCTTCTCCTCCTCCTCCCCTTCTCCTGCCTCCCCCTGCGGGAGCAGCTACCTGGGCCCGAGATTGCCTCCCCACTGTTGACTTTTTGACGTCGCGCCAAACTTGAATCCTCGGATTGTAGCGATCTTGCAGCACAGAGAAATTATCCCGCTCGAAGGGACCAACCATATGAAACTGCGGGTACCGCGAGGCAGGAGAAACGACGCAGGTGGGGAGGAGTGAGGGGTGTGCCAACATCGGTCGGATGCGCCTTGCGGAACCTTCCACTCGGGCCGATGGAGCTCCATTTGGGCCCACGGCACGTGTGAGGCGTGTGCTGAATCGGATATGGGCACGCCATGCGCACCCTGCCGCTGGGGCCTGCGGTGGAACTCCCTTCGGGGCCACGGATCGTGTGAGCGGTGTGCCGAACTGGGTGGTGTTGCGCCATGCCGGCCCTGCCGCTGGGGCCTTCGGTGGAGGCCCCTATGGGGCCACGAAGCGTCGGAGGGGCGTGCAGACTCGGTTGCGGGTATGCCTTGCGGACCCCGCCGCTGGGGCCTTCGGTGAAGCCCCCTTTGGGGGCCACGAAACATGTGTGAAGGGTGTGAATCGGGTGCGGATACGCCATGCGGACCCTGCCGCTGGGGCCTTCGGTGGAGCTCTCTTCGGGGCCACGGAACGTGTGAGGCGTGTGCCGAATCGGGTGCGGGTACGCCATGCGGGCCCTGCCGCTGGGGCCTTCGGCGGAGGCCCCTATGGGGCCACGAAGCGTCGGAAGGGGGAAGGGCGTGCTGACTCGGTTGCGGGTATGCCATGCGGATCCTGCCGCTGGAGCCTTCGGTGGAGCATTCTTCGGGGCTGCGAAAGGTGTGAGGAGTGTGCCGAATCGATTGCTGGTGCGCATGATGGCAATGAGATTATGGCAGATGCAGGACAGGGATATAAGAAAGGAGGAGGCGGAACGAGGAAGAAGGAGGGAGGAGGGCGGCGGGGCGCTGTCTATGCAAAACGAGGACCCAACTCCACTGGATGGTTGGGAAAACGAGCGGCTGTCAACGGCAAACTTAGAACTGGTGGCAAACTTTCCTCCTCATCCTCCTCTTCCATCTCCTCCGCACCATTAGCATCATCACCATCATCATCATCACCATAATCAGCATAAGCAGCATCATCATTATCGCCACCACCATTACCATCACCATCAACATCACCGTCACGATTATCATCATCGTCAACAACAACATCACCACCACAATCACCATCATCATCATCATCATCATCACCGACCTCATCCACACCATCATAATCACCACCACCACGGCCACCACCATCATCATCATCATCATCGTCATCATCATCAGTATTATCATCACCAACACCACCATAACCACCATCGTCCACATCAGCATCATCATCAGCATCACCAACGCCAACATCATCACCATGAATATCACCGTCACGATTATCACCAGCAACACCATCACCATCATCTTCATCACCATCCTCATCCTCATCCTCATCCTCACAATCATCACCACCAACACCAAGACCACCACCATCATCATCAGCATCATCATCAACAACATCAGCATCATCATCATCAGCAGCATCACCATCATCATCATCATCATAATCAGCAGCATCATCACACTCAGCATCAGCATCACCATCATCATCAGCATCATCAGTATTTCCAGTATCACCAGTATCATCAGCATCAGCATCAGCATCAGCATCAGCACCATCGTCACCATCAGCATCATCAACAACATCATCAGCATCATCATCATCATCATCATCATCATCATCAGCATCGTCATCATCATCATCACCATCACCATCATCATCACCCACTCTCCCTCCTCCCTCCACGAATAAAGACAAAACTGTTGTTGCCGCTCCTCCCCATCTCCTCAATCCCCCCTTCCTCGTCCCTTCTTGTTTTCTCGCCCCCGTTCCCGCCTCCCCGCCTCACCTCCTTCCTCCAGCTGCTTCCTCCCTCCTCCCTTCTCCTCCCTCCTCCTCGCTCTTGCCCTCCTCCTCCTCCCCATCCTGCCTCCTCTGTCCATGTTCGTTGCTTGTCACTCCCCCCTTCCTCGGATCGAGGCTGTCTGGGATGGGCCGCCCTGGCGCAGGCCGCCCTCCGGCCACCGCGCTCTCGCTCGGAATTTCTCGTCGTCGTCCTCCTCCTCCTCTTCCTCCTCCTCCTCCTCCTCCTCCTCCTCTTCCTCCTCCTCCTCCGCCTCCTCCTCCTCCTCCCCCTCCTCCTATCCTTCCTTCCTTCCTTCCTTCCTTCCTTCCTCCTCCTCCTCCTTATCCTCCTCCTCCCCCCCATCCTCCCCTGCAGGAGGGAGTACTTGCCAGCCGTCAGCGCCTCAGGAGGGAGCCCTCCGACGACACCTTGGCAGCTGGCAGTCAGAGGGCGGCGAGGGCCGCCCGCCTGCTGCACTCGATCGCGCATCGATCTGCCCTCCCCTGCCGGCGCCGCGCCGATGATGACTCGGCGAAGCTGCCGACTCGTCATTGCAGGCGCCAATGGCGCCGACGGCGTCGGCGACGCATCGGCGATACGGCGCGATCCTCCGACCCCATCTGCTCGGACCCCGCGTGGAGGCCTCCAGAAGGCCTCCACGCGGGGTCCGAGCAGGAGGCCTCCCAGGAGGGAAGGCCGGGAGGCCTCCCAGGAGGCAAGGCCGGGAAGAGGCGGGCCAGCTCAGGGCTTCTGAAACACTGTTTACGCACTTCTGAAACACTGTTTACGCACTTCCTGCAACCACAGATGGCTCCTCGAAAGGCGGGAGGGCTTCTGATATTTGGTTTTGGACTTCGCCCAGAATCATCCGCAGACGCCTTTAGGACGCAACGAACTGCGAGGGTGAATCGAAAAAGGTGGCCCAGAAGAGCCCTGAGAAGTCCCTCCGCCTTCTCAGAATGCCCGCCCTCTCTCGCTTCTCCCCTCACCTCGCCGCCGGCATCCGCGTGATCGAGGCCACGCAGGTCCGCACAGCAGGCGCCTGCGAGGAGAAACCAGGCTGTAAAGACCCAAGGGGCACATCCCTCGTCGCCTCTGAGCATGTTGAAGTGCTCGGGGCTCGGTGGGTCCATCGTGGCACAAGAAATTCCCGTGGGGCACCAGCTGGCATGTCGGTTTCTGCGTATACGGTACCCCAGGCAGGGGGGGGGAAAGGGCGGCCGCCATGGGCGGCGCGAACTTAGGTCGAGCCGACCGACGCCACAGGCGGGTATCACCGCACTGCCAAAATCAGCCACATGGGCTGAGCGTGGGGATGCGAGGCACCTAGAATGTGCCAATATGCGAGGGCACCAGTGGACCGAAGAAGCGGGAAGCATGAAGCATCTTGCTGCGCACGCTCAACTTTAATACTGGTTTTGACTGTAGCTTGAAGAATCGGCCGTATAGTATAGCTAGACGGCCATTCGAAGCCTGGCCCTTGGGACATCTTGATACACCAACACCGCAGCTCCCTGGACCTCTCCCGGGTGCGCTCTAACCAAGCCCTCAAGGCGAATCCAGCCGTCTCGATGAGGTGCGGGTAACGCGATCGGTATCTCCACAATGTCCGACGTCGCTGCTTGTTCATAACGCGAGCCTTCAGATGTCCTGACCCCTTCCCCAGGATCTAGTTTTCATCCCAAGCGGTTCTTCAACCGCTCGGGGCCCAGTGAGGGTCCCTATAGAGGCTGAAAATTGATTCGAACTTTTTCTCCGTCGGCGGCGAGGAAGAGGCAGTCCGCTCCAGCGTGTGGCTAATCGGGGCAGACGAAATCCGAATTGTCCAGCGTGCAAGAAGAAAGACAATTGACCAACAAATGACCTCGTGATTTGTGCTGTTCTTCCACGGCGACTGGAAGTGGCAAGATCAGTCAACGTCGAACCGGGAAATCGGATCGAATCGACATGTGCACAGGATCGGGCTGCATCGGCACAAATCGAATCGGATGGGCAGCGACAGGGTTTACAACAGCGCCATGCAAACATCGGTCCGCGTCAGATCGTCAGAACACCGACGTCGAGTCCGATCGAGACAGCCAGGATCGGTATCAAATCGGATCGGTCGAATCGAAGCGAACCCGAAGTGTTGGAGCCAGCCAGGGTGTCTGAACTGGTCGGAACCCCAGAAAATCGACCAGGAAGGGGGCTGAAACCAAATCCGTTGAACATCGGTCCCAGGACCCCTCCCGGGGTCCGTCTGGTGCAATACGTTTTCATTCCGTATCCATGTTTGCGGGTCCCAGGGCCCGAAAACGGTCCCCCGAGGCGGAGAAAAGCAAATGCCGTTGCTTCGAATTGGTTCCCGACGGTGCGCGCGCCAAATTAACGGAACACTGCGCGCAAGGCCTGGTGGTCTCGGCCAGCGCGGCGGCCCGGCCAGGTCGCAACTTGCCTTTGTCCTACAATCTGACAGTCCAAGGTGGTTTTAGAAGGAATGCCCCTGACGAAAGAAACCGAAGCAATCCCTGTGGCGAGCAAACGAATCCCAAAACCCGAGGTGTGAGCGAGACCAAAGAAACGCATGCGGAGAGAATCTGCAACCTGTTGACCAAGAAGGAGGAGGAGCACAAAGTGGAGTGGGAGGCAATATTAGGTTCACTTGGACTCTGCCCCAACGTAATGAATAACACTATGAGATGATATGTGTCTGTGTGCTCTCGACGGGCCGCCGTGATGTCGTTACGCCTGTCGCGCTAGATGCGTCGTCCATTCGGTCGTTCCTGCGCATGTTTGTTCCTGCAACCTGCCTGACCTCAGCCCGCACGTCGCGCTTGATTTCATGGTGGTACGGTTGATGCTGTTATGATGTATGTTTGGTGGCACGCCGTGCATGGGTGACTGCTGTCGAATATTGTGCGCTATCGTATGTTCGCTTGGATTTTGCCCCAACGGAGTACATGACATTATGGTATGTGAGCAGGGCAGCTGAGGTCAGTTCCGCTCAAGCACAAAATCCTGCCAACAGCCCCCCACGCGACAATAGATTTCGCCGTCCAGACGCCCGCGCAGGTCGCGCTCTCGCAAGCGGAAGTCTAGCAAGCAGGGGAGATCAGCGGAGGCACGTTCTACTGCCACGCGCCCAGATTCAAGTATAAGCCCTCGTGGAGTCTAAGCCCCGTCCAAGCCCTCGTCGAAGCACTGTTATGTTATGTTGTGTTCTGGGCAGGCCGGCGTGCCGTTGTGACGCCCGTCACGTTTGATATATCGTCTAATCGGTCGCTGCTGCCACTGAGTTTCTACTGCTTGATTATGTGGCCAAAGTGACCTCGGGGCGCATGTCGCGTATGATAGGACGGAACTGCTCGGCCTTTGATGTATCACTCCGCGAAGTTCTCTTTACTTCTGCTCTGTTCTGCGCGCACATGCATGGTTGTATGTAATCTACTTTCGACGGGCCTTCGTGACGTCATGACGCCTTTCACGTTTGATATGTTGTCTAGTCGGTCGTCGTTGCGTCTGTTCCTGTCCTGCGGCCCGCCTCACGTCGGCGTGGGTGCTGCGATCGACAGGGCGCAATTAATGTGTCGACTTTGTGTTTAACCGTATTCAGCTATGTTTATTGCACCATGTTCTAATACGTTGAACTGGTTTATGCTCTGTTGTGTTCTCGACGGGCTGGCGTGACGTCGTGACGCTTGTCACGTTTAATCGGACTTCGAATCGGTCGGTTCTGCGAGTGTTTGTTCCTGCGGGCAGCCTGACCTCGGCCAACACGTCGCGTTTGATTATATGATGGTGCGGTCGATGCTGCTATGATGTTCGTTTGACGATTCGCCGTGAATTGGCGAATGCTGTAGAATAGTGTGCTATATTATGTTCGCTTCGATTATGTCCCAGCGTAGTGACTACAAGTTTGTTATGTTATGTTCTGTTCTGGGCGGGCAAGCGGGACGTCGTGACGCCTGTCACGCTTGATCTGTCGTCTAATTGGTCGCTGCTGTTACTGCTCGTTTCTGTGGCCGGCGCGGGCTCGGCGCGCATGTTGCATATGATAGGACGGCATCACTCGTTCTCTGATGATTCACTCTTTGACGTTCTGTTTGGTTCTGTCCTGTTCGGCTCGATGCGCATATTGCTTGCTCAAATGTGTTCGGTTCTGGACATGCCGGCGTGACATCGTGACGCCTGTCACGTTTGATATGTCGTCTAATCGATAATTGCTGCGCATGTTACTGTCCTGTGGCCAGCCTTACGTCGGCGTGGATATTGCGTTTGACAGGGCGGAACAAATCGGTCGTTGCTGTACTTAGCAATTCACAGCTATGACATATCCCGCCATGTTCTAGTATAGCATGAACGCAGCGCATATTGGGCTCGATAGGTCGGAGGGGCCTCACAACTGCTTCGCCATTGGCGGAAGGGACCGATGCACACCAACCGCTGCAAACGCGGTGGCGGATACTAAAGTACGGTGGGTTACGATATAATGTTTTCACTAGTCATTCATTTGTTTAGGATACAATGTACAATGTGATGCTCGAGTCTGTCATAATATTCATTGTTATGTTGTGTAGCGCTCGTGTGTTACGCTTTGTTATAGTGTGTAATTTACTATCTACCCTGACCACTCGGTTATCGTTTGCTCCGTTGAAGTTAAGGCATGCTTCTGCAATTATGCTACAGTCGATGACGGCGTAGAAGAAGTAGTACAACAGCTATGGTATTTGAGTGTGGCTATGCTGTGCGGTGGTCAATGAAGTATGGTGTGCTATGTTATGGAAGGATGACCTCTCCGCTAGGTAGTAGGACTAGGTTGTTGTATTACACTCGTCGCCCTCGGAATATCAGTAATACAACATTGCTGGCCCGTCGTGCGAGGCAAGGTTATGCTATGCGACATAAGGATTCGCCGTGCCATGTAATGTGTTACATGGTTGTGCCAGATTTGATTCGGTGTTATGATATGATCTGTTATGTGAGGATGAATAATGGTGTGTTATGGCATGGCGTAGTATGCCTTATAATGTTATTATCTGCTACGCCGCGCTCTGATATGGTATGCTGTATCTCGGACTCCCGACGTCGTGATTTGGTTCATGACGTCGACCTCCAGAGGTCTGAACCCCTTCCCCCGGGAACCGTTTTTCCTCCTGCCTCGGGCCGGTGAGGGCCCCCGGAGGCCGAAACTCATGAGAGACCTCCCGTCGCGACATTTTCACAGCGCGAGGGGTCTGGGAACCTCGGGCCTCACCCCCCCCCCTTCCTGCTGGCCAGAACCAGTGCTGGGCCACCTCATAGGCCCCCCCCCCGACGGCTCCAACCGAAGTGGGGGCCCGTCCTCCCTCGAGAGGCCCAGGGCGTCCAGAGCCATCGATGGTTCAAAGGTGGGGTCCTGAGGGATAGGCTCCTAAGGTTAGGTCGGACATGTCCTATTACAGGCGGATGCTGTAAGAAAAACGAAGGCAAGTCGAACAGATCCAAACATCATCAAACGTACGCGGAAAATCGTCCTCAGACTATTTTTTCGATCTTCCTCCTGCAAAGGGACATGCCCAAACAACAAGGGTCCGTGCGGACTCCTTCGAGCTGAGCTGGACCCCGCTCCCTGGCAAGCGGAGCGCGCCAGAGGCGGCGCCGGTAGGGCCCCAGCGAGGATCCAAGAAATCCGCTCGGACAACCAAAAAGCTCTGTTTATCCAAACCCCCGACGTCGTGGTTTTTTCACGCGTAGACAGAGGACCGGACCCCTTACCCGGGACCGGCTTGTCATCCTGAATCGTTTTTTTAGGGCCTGGCGAGGGCCCCCAGAGGCCGAAAATGGCGAAAAATCTCCCGTCGCGATTTTTTCGCAACACGAGGAGGTCTGTGGGTATGCACTTTTGAGATCTTCGATTCCTATGCTTCGGGGCCCACCCCTCAGGACCCAGCCTTTGAACCCCCCGGCACGAGGCCTTCGCGCCGCGCGCCCGGCGGCCTCGCGCCAGGTGCCGCCAGGCGCGGCCCTGCAGTAGCACAAACCACTGGCGCCCAGAAGCGCAGCGTACCCCAAGTAACGTATTAGGAGCTCCCTCCTTCGTCGTCGTCGTCGTCGTCGTCGTCACCGTCGTGGTCGTGGTCGCGGTCGTGGTCGTCGTCGTCGTCGTCGACGTCCTACGTCGTCGTCGTCAATTTCGTCGTTTTCGTCGTCGTCGTTTTCGTCGTCCTCCTCCGTCGTCATCGTCGTCCTCCTCCTCCTCCTTCTCCGTCGACGTCGTCGTCGTCCTCCGTCGTCGTCGTCGTCGTCGTCGTCGTCATCCGCCGTCGTCCGTCTCGTCGTCGCCCTCGCCGACAAAACTATATTACCAACCGAGAAACAACAAAACACGGAACGGTTGCTCGGCCTGTCGCCGCGGCGGCCCATGCGACGCGCTATAGCTGTGCCCGACCAATCGGAGACAGCGTCGTCCTCCACTCCGCGGGCTGCGAGGCCGGGCACACAGCTCGGCACGTGGACGCCCAGCCCCCCCCGGGAGCGCAACGTGGTGGCCTGCCGCGTCGAGGGCTCGGTGGGCCCCAGGACGGGCGGCGGCGCGACACGCTGCAGTTGGCCCGCATGGCGAGGATGCGCGAGGAGGATGCGCGAGGGCCTCGGGCGCCCAGCTCGAAGCTTCTCGCGCGGGGAGCGGCCCGCGGAGGTGGCCAAGGATGGACCGAGGAGGCAGGGAGGCAAGGATGCGAGGATGGACGGACGTAGGAAGGGTGGCCCACCCTTCCTATGCCGATCGACTCCATCCGAATGGTCCCCACCATAAACTGTCGGAGGTCCGCGCCGACTTCTGGCGCTGCAGCCCCCTGCCGGCGCCCCTGGCGCACTCCAGCGAAGCGGCGCGAGCCTCCGACCCCCATCTGCTTGGATTCCACTTGGGAGGTCGGAGGCTCAGGAACTTCTGAGCTCCTGGCGGCGCGCACAAGGGGGTGAGGGGGAGGGGGGAAGGCTTCTTAGAAGGAGGCTGCTTCTTAGAAAGCGCCGGCCCTACGCCCACAGACAAGGCCCGCGCCTTCTGAAAAGCAGGGGCGCTCCTGAGAAGCCATCCGCCCTCGCCCATGCCCCTCTCTGCGCGTGGCTGACCTTTCTGGAGGCGCAATTCATTCCCTGACCCCGACGACATAATCTTTTCACGACGCCGATCTCCAGGCGTCTCGACCCATTCCCCGAGACCGGTTTTCTACCCTGAGTTGATTTTCGGACGGCCCCGAGGCTCAATCAGGGCCCCCAGAGGCCGAAAACGTAGAGGAAAGCCGCCCGTCGTGATTCTTGCATGACTCGAGGGTGTCGGACTTGGGCTGCTCACCTGGGCGATGATGCCCTCGACGCGGTGCACGATGGCCTCCTGGATGCCCTTTGGCGTCCCGGGCGCCACCGCCACGCCCACCACCTGAGGGAGGGGCGCCCGCCGCGCGGCTTTGGCGAAGGGTGGGGGGGGCGTGGGCACGATGAACCGCCTCAAGAAGAAGCATCGTTTCGTCGACCCCTGTCCCCTTCGGCGTGGCCAGGGCCCCAGTGGGATTGGCGCGGGGGTTGCTAAGGTGATAGGGGGCTATCAGTGGGTGTCACGGTGCGTTACATCTGGCCTAATCTAGCTCATTCCGGCTTGGGGGGATAGCGATCCAGGCCAAGTGGGCTCCGCCCACGTAGCGGAAGCCACTTGGGCCATGTGTAACCCACTTGTAAACAAGATCAGGCCAGGTATATCCCCTTTGGCGTCCACTGCTCAGCACCCTATCCCCTTAGCAACCCCCGCGCCCATCCCAGTTGGGCGTGGTCAGGGCCCCACTTGATTAGGCCAGGTATATCCCCTTTGGCGTTCACTAATCAGCCCCTATCCCCTTAGCAACCCCCGCGCCCATCCCAGTTGGGCGTGGCCAGGGCCCCACCAGCCGATCTGCCCCCCTGGATGGGGCCGCAGGCTGTATCCTTCGGGTCTCGTGGGGTCTATCCCCAACTGGGGTGCTGAGATGGTGGGGGGATGGACAGGGATGGGGACGGGGATAGGGGGTCGATTGAACGATGCTGATGCTGGAAGAAGGGCCAGGGTATCTTTTCACACGCTTGCCAAGGACGGCTGCCAAGTCGGCACCACTGCCAGATCTGCGCACCGCATTGTGCACAGCAGCTACGAAACATCGCAACGGACGGAATTACGCTATTTACGCCCATGGGGGCCATAACCGGGCCGGGGGACCGTCAACAAACAATACGCAGGGGGAGAAAAGGAATCCAGGGAATGGGTCGATACCTCTGGGGGTTCGCGTTATGATAAAATTCTTGACGTCGGGGTGTGGGGACTGCTCTTTGCCCCGTAGGTACATGTCTATCGACGGCATCCGAGGGCGAAGCTAAAATGGCAGGGCCGACCAGGTGTTATCCTGCGCGGTGAGCCGCGGGGGAAGAAAGCACGAGCCTGTGCTCCAGGGGCCGCCACATGTTGCCGACTGCGCTCGGGCTCCATCGACCCCAATGTGCTACCCACCACGCTCACCAGAACCGCTGATAGAGGCATTTGGCTGCGCCCGTCCTCCCCCTAAGCCCTCCACCCGCATCCTCCTGCTCCTCATCGCTCCCCCACCCCCCCTCTTTCTCCAGTTGCCCACCTCCTTCTCAAGCTGTGCCGCCTCGCCACCCTCCCCCTCCCCCTCTTCCCCAAGTGTCCCCCAACTGCCCCCCGTTGTCCCCCCTCTGTTTGGGTGCCAACCCAGACTCAAACGCTCGACTCTGGAATAAACTGTGGCGAGTTGTCCGCTCAGGAGCGGAAAACCTCTGGCGCGAGCCGCGTCCCCTGAGATCTGGCGAGGCGAGAATCGAGCAGGGACGGACCGTCCCGGCATTCCTATAGGCGTACCACGGCATGTTCGTAGAACCCAGACGTGTTATAAGAACAAAACCAATGTTCTCAGATCATCAACCCGCTGTGTTGACACAAGACAGTCTCAGCCAGAAGTGTTCTAAGAACATCTCGCGCAAGCCACAACAGGTTCTTAGAACACTCTGCGGTGGGCCTAAAGGCAAGCCAAAACGCTGCGCCACTGCGTGAGACCAAAAAAATATCATCGTGAAACATCACGACTGGGGCCCGCCATAGCCCCAGACATAATCTTTCTGCGACATCTGTCGACGCGAATCGACATGCGAAGGTTCTGGGGTCCGATCGGTCCGAAACCTGGCGAACCCGCCCAGCTCACAAAAATCGAAACGTCCGTCGGCGGCGAGAGAGGGGGGGAAGTGAGAAGGAAAAGGCCTGACTGCTCAGAAGACGGCGGGAATTCTCAGAAACCCTCGCGCCTTCTGAAAGGTCTCTTGTGTCCCAGGGAACGCGAATAGAACCTTGCAGAAATTAGGCCGGGCGGCGACGTTTTGAGAAAGCCTTCTCTCCTGAGACCCGGCGTTGCGAAACAAAAATTACAACATCGCAAAAAATCACAAACGGAGACCCGGGCCCCATCTTTCTTCCCAATTTTTCGAGCCTGAACGGGGCGAAAATGTCCGCTGACGCCAGGATCTCTCGGGGTCCGATTCACCCCTGGGCTCGCCGCCAAGCCAGGATCTGAGGGTCTGATCCTCGACCCAGGCCGCCGACGTGTCGATTCTTTCACAGCGTCGACCCCCAGAGGTCTCGATCCCTTCCCCGGAACCGGTTTTTCCTCCTGCGTCGTTTCTTGACGGTCCCTGGGCCCGGTGAGGGCCCCCAGAGGCCGAAACTCATGAAAAACCGGCCGTCGCGTTCTTTTTCGCAGCGCGAGGGGATCTGGGGACCAAGCTCCTCGACCAGACCTGGCCGCCAGCGTTAGGTCAGGCATGTCCCCCTACAGTGGGATTGGACGAAAATCAAAAACACCCCCAAAATACAACTTCTGTAAAACAGAAAGATGAAAAATAATAGAAAAATCGGCCCCTGACTATTTTATGACTATTTTTGAATTTCCCTCCTGTAGAGAGACACGCCCGACTTCAAGCCAGCGGCCGCCTCGGGCCTTGCGAGGGCCTGCAAAGGCGCCTGCGCGCGAGGGGCCTGCGCGAGGGGCACCCCCGTAAGGCCACCGAGCGGGTGCCGCCGGGGCGCCGGGAGGCCGGCGCGAGCAGCCGGAGGCCGACGATGCCCACAAATCCGACGTTTCCCCAAAAATTGGAGCGGGTGTTTTGTAATTGTTCCGTTTGTTGTTGATGTGGTTGTGGTTGTGGTTGTGGTTGTGGTTGTGGTTGTGGTTGTGGTTGTGGTTGTGGTTGTGGCTGTGGCTGTGCTTGTGGTTGTGGTTGTGGTTGTGGTTGTGGTTGTGGTTGTGGTTGTTGTTGTTGTTGTTGTTGTTGAACATTATTTATTCTAAAGAATAATTATTGTTGGGCCCCCTGGTGCGCGCCCCCCCTGCGCCGCCTAGGCCGCAGCTACATTTTCATCATTTTCGTGAGGAAGCCTCAGAAAAGAGGGTGTGTACAGGATCCGGTTGTTTTGTTGTAATCCGCTTTCCCTTGCAAAAAACAATAGAAAATGACATTTCTTGTTCTAATATAATCAAATTTCAAGAATCCCTTGCAAAAAATAAGGTAAAGTGGACATTCGCGCGCGCAAGACGAAATCCTTCCAAAACCTTAGTGTTCGCAGCGATTTTAACATAAAAACATCAAAAAACCAATGGTTTTTCAACAAAAAATTGTCAAAATCTCATCCCGCGCGCTCTTGCGGATTCGTAGGAAACCCAACACTTTTTAAACATTTCTGTCAAACGGGCTTTTGCGAGCAACTTTTTCGAACTTCTGCGAACAACGGTTGCGCACCTGCCAGGGCCATCATCCCTGTCAAATAATACCATGCGGGACACATTCGTTTTTTCTTCGCGCGCGCACGCCGAAATCTTCAAAAACCATTGGGTTTCTTAGGAATTTTAGCACCGCGCAACATAAAATCATACGAATCGCACCGTAGGTCCTCGAAAAACATCTGTACGAATTTTCAAAATTTCTACCCGCGCGCGCTGTCCGAATCCTAAAAAACCAATGGTTTTTCAACATTTATGTTACATGAGCTCGCGCGAGCTACTTTCGCAAGCTCTTTCAACGGCGTTCGCGCGCCTGCCAGGGGCCACAATCCCTTGCAAAACATACCATGCGGGACACATGCGCGCGTGTCGCGTCGTCGTCGTCGTCGTCGTACCCATGCGCCAGTGTAGTAGCCACGGTCGTCCGCAGGCCACGAAGTGAAGTGTCCGAACGTCATAGGGCGGGAAGCTGGGTGTGGGTGGTGGCGAAGAGTCGTTTGGAAATGTGGTAGAGCTTGAACCGGCCCCCCCACAAAGTGGGGGTATTGGCGGGCGTCGTATGAAAACCCTGGCACTGGTGAGAACGGAGTGTCCCCACGTGCTAGTAATTGTTGTTGTTGTTGTTGTTGTTGTTGTTGTTGTTGTTCTCCCCAAAAAACACAAACACACACACCAAGGAGGAGGAGGAGGAGGAGAAGGAGGAACCCGCTGCCCTCAGGAGGGCTATTCTCCAGGAAGCACGCCCAGGCGAACTCGACGACAGCCCTGGCCCTGCTTCCTCCGCACCTTCCGGAAGGTGCGGAAGGTGCTAGGGTTTTGATTGTGTCTACGGATGTGTTCGGATGTCTTCGGATGTCTGTCGGTGTTTTTGCATGTCTCGGTACCTTGATAAACTTGCGATAATTCAAATAATTTGCATTACACTAAACAAATACGCGGGTGAACGAATACTTGATGTTGATGCTGATGATGTGATGACGACCGCGTCGACGACGATGACGTCGATGATGATGCTGATGATGTTGATGGTGATGGCGATGATGATGGTGATCATGACGGTGAGGATGATGGAAGTGACGATGGTGATGATGATTATGAGGATGATGGGGAAAAGGAGGAGATGGACATGACGATGGTGATTATGATGAGGAGGACGAGGACGAGGAGGACTTGGAGGAGAAGGGCGACGATCACGGTTGTGATGCCCATATGTTGTGCGATGGTGATGAGTGTGGTGGCTTAAGAAGATCAAGATATGATGGTGATGATGATGGCATGGAGAAGGAGGATGGCGATCACGAGTGCGGTTCCCATGTTGAGATCATGAAGTCGGTGCTCGCAATGTTGGTGGCGAGGACAATGCTAGTGGTGATGATGATGGTGAGCATTACCATGATGATCAAGCTGGCGACGATGGTGAAGACGATGGAGACGCGATCCTCGATCCTCGATCCTCGATCCTCGACTCTCGGTCCTCGGTCCTGATCCTCGATCCTCGATCCTCGCTCCTCGACCCTCGATCCTCGATCTATTGTCCATCTCATCGATCCTTGATCTATCGATCCCTCGATCCTTCGCCCCCCGACCGATCCCATCGATCCTCGATATCTCCCTCGATCCGCTCTTC